ATCATGGATGAAGCTCACACTAGTATAAAGTATTAATTATCATTATTTCTGCCCACAGGCCAGTTCCTGATTCACCCTCAGTGCTTACTAAATTCCTATAACACCACTGTTCCTATCCTAGAAATTTCCTACCACCACCCACTTGATAAAAACCACAAGAAGCCAGGCTCGGTGGCTCATGCCTATAATCCCAGCACTTTGGGAGGGCAGGGCAGGACGATCGCTTGAGCCCAGGAGTTGAAGAACAGACTGGGCTACGTGGCGAAACCCAGTTTCTACAAAAATTTAGCTGGGGATGATAGTGCGCACCTGTGCTCCCAGCTGCTCAGGAGGCTGAGGTGGGAGGATGGATTGAGAGCCTGGGAGGTCAAGGCTATACCACTGATTGCACCACTGCATGCCAGCTTGGGCAACAGAATGAGACCCTGTCTCAAAACACACACACACACACACACACACACACACACACGAATCTAACTCTTGCATTTCTTGCATTTAAGACCTTCAAAGTCATACACAAGTAGATTCTCATAAGAATGGTCTTTATGAATCTCTCCTACCACTTTCCCCATCAATGCTGCTTTAATTTTTATAATGCACTAAATGCTGGATGTTTTGTTTTGTTGTTTGGGTTTTCAGAGGAAGTCTGTATTCTAGGCTTCCTGGCAGACCAATCCCATACCCCGGTGACTCCACCTCAAGTAACACTGGAAGCCACAGGATGAACCTGTGTGACATGGAGAAAAGCAAGATTTTGTCTGTTTGTCAGTTTCTGTCCATGCAGAATCAGAAACTGTCCGAGAAGGGACCCCACCACCCACAGAGGGAAGCACATGGTGGCCCTAGCTGACATCTGTGAGGCTACATGTCACAGCAAGGACAAGAAAGCAGGAGATCCAGGTTCCAGTCTTAGCATCACAGCCTCCTGGTTGGGGCTTCCTTGTGTATAAACCAATGGAGGCTGGGCGAGATAGCCAGACCTCTGGATTTCAAAGGTCAATACATTTTTTTCTTTTTTAAGTCTGGGAATTGACTTAGGGTTATTCATACTTTTGATTTTCACAAGTAAGAATATTAAGAACAAAAAGTACCATAATTCCACTTAAATAGCTAAAATGTAAAGACAGAATCAACTACTGATACACACAACAGCATGGATGAAATTCAAAAGCTTTTTTTTTTTTTTTTGAGACATGATCTTACTCTGTCACCCAGCCTGGAGTACAGCAGTACAATCTCAGTTCAATGCAACCTCTGTCTCCTGGGCTCAAGCAATCCTCCCACCTCAGTCTCCTGAGAAGCTGAGACTACCAGTGTGCACCACCACACCCAGCTAATTATTTTGGTATTTTTTGGAGACAGGGTTTCACCATGTTGCCCAGGCTGGTCTCGAACTCCCAGACTCGAGAAGTCTGCCTGCCTCAGCCTCCCAAAGTGCTGGGATTACAGGCGTGAGCCACCACACCCAGCCTCAAAAACTTTTTGTAAGTAAAAGAAGTCTGATGTGAAAGGTCATATAATTCTACCTATAGAACATTCTAGAAAAAGCAGAACTACAGATAAGAAACCAATCAGCATTTGCCAGTTGTGGAGGGGTCAGCGAGGAGACTGATCATAAAGGGGGTAATAAGGGAACCTGCTGCTGGCAGGGCGGAATTGTGAGTACAGTGGTGGTTCCATGACTCTATGTATTTGTCAAAACTCATTGAACTTTACGCTTAAAAAGAGTAAATTTTATTGCATGCAAATTATACGCCAATAAAACTCAATTTTTAAAAAATGCAATCACTATTCTATTCTACCATCTTCTACAATAAAAAGGAAGAATATTTTAACCATCCAAAAGTAAAGCAACATAATTTTTGAAAAGAATAGTCATTTATTTTGAATAAAGTTATCTTTGGGAATAATTTCCTCCTTGTTTTTCATTTCACTCTGGACTGGGGAAAAACTTCATCAGGTAGTGACTAAGGCAGGTCTGCATTTTGAAACCACTGGCTGGGTCATCCTTAAAGCCTTTTTCAGCTCTCCAGTTCTATGCATTTGGCTATCCTGTAGTTCTTACTAAAATGAGTTTGAATTACAGCACCATTTTACCTGCCTAATATTTGTTCCAGGGAACACGATTTCATTTTTTTTTCCCACCCTGAACACGATTTTACATAAGAGTTTTTAAAAGGCAAAATTCCAAGCAGCTGCAGGGAAAGTATTCTCTACAGTCTACTGTAAAAGGATCTGATCTGCTGAGAATAAAGAAGAAACACGGTGAAGAGGAGGCTTGGCATATATTCCTAATAACCATGATGCAAAATAAGCAGCAATACTATAGTTGACTAGATATCAAGTTTATATTCACTTTGAGCCTATCTTCGTTTTCACTATTTAACTTCTGCTTAAGCAGCTTTGAGTTTGATAATGCTGTCATTGCATAATAAGGTCTGTTCATAGTTTTAAAATTATTATTACCTACTTGATCATGCTAGCTAGGATATAAATGAGTGGTAATAGCACTTTCATCTCCATTTCTCAAATAAGAAATTCTCCAGGCCTAAACTTCTAAATTATTTGTTTTGATTCTAATATTAATAGATTAGTCAGTATTCCTGAAGCTAACCAGAGAATATATCAGGAATTCAAACTCTGCTTCCAAGAATCTTCAAATTCTTTTTTTTTTAACTGCCATTAGGAAGCCTTTAATTTTCCTTCTCTACAATGATTCATCAAAATATTAAGGTGCTTAAAGCTGGTTCCCCTACCTCCATTCCCGCTCCCAAAATAAATTCCAGATGAATCAGTGATTTAAATATAGTCATTAACCTATAAACTCCTTGAAAACAGTGAAGAATATTTTCATAATTTTGGACCAGAGATACCCTTTCTAAATATCATACAAAACCAAAAGCCAAAAATAAAAATACTCATAAACTTGACTGCAAAAACTTAAATATTCTACAAAGTAAAAATTTTATTCAAACTCAAAATACAAATTGTATACTAGGAGATAATATCAACAGTACAAATGACAGGCCAAAAAAAATCCTTTGTACACAAAGAGCTACTACAAATGAAGAAGAAAAAATGAGCTCAATAGAAAAACAAGTAAAGGATACAAACTGGCAGTTTGCATTAATTTTAAGAATGGCCAATAAGCAACTGAAGACACACTTGGCCCCAGTCATGATTTTAGACATGAAAATAAAAATAATGAGGTATCCAATTTTGATCTGTGAGAATAGAAAAACCTGAATGTTAGTAACACCCATTAATGAGAGGGGGAAACAAACCCTTACAGAAGTGGTGGGAATACAAATAAGGGCAACTGTTGTAGAAGACAATTTATCAACGTCTATGAAAATTTCAAGGACACATTCTATGATCCAGCAATTCCACTGGTATAAATTCATCCTACAGATATACACCTAGAGGCATAAGAATATATATGCACAAAGAGGTCACACACTGTACAGCATTATACGTGACAACAACAATAAGGAAACAACCCTAAATTTCCATTAGTAGAAGACTTAAATAAAGCACTGACATCCATTCCTAAGAACACCATCTGGCCATCCAAAAAGGAGTGCAAGTAAATCCATGTGCCTAATATAAAAAGATCTCCAAAATATGTTAAGGAAAAAAAAAAAAGAAGAAGAAGAAGAAAACAGTATGCATGTGATCCCATTTGTATAAAAACATGTATTTATGTAGATACAGTTATATACACATACACATACCAAGACATACTAACACATGCCTAAATTTACTAGAAAGATATGCAAGAACAGTTAAGAGCAACTATCTCTAATGAGCACATAGGACAATAGGTGGGGATAAGTCCTTTTAGTTTTATCCTCTTCCGTTCTGGTTTATAAAAAGTAAAGACACATATAAAAAGACAAAAACAAATTGCACTTCCTACATGTATATAAAGTACCAATTAAAAGTTGAGAACTCCTACTATAATTCCTGGAAAATAAAGAAGGCCAGTTGGAGGAAAATGCTTTAGAATTAGGGCTGTACCTACAGTTCCTGAAGATTCGGCTTAGGGCAAGGTAAGTAAGGCATTACAAGTAAGTCCCACTGTCCTAACCAAGTTAAGGAAAAGGGGGTGTCTCTTTAAACAAAACAAAAAAAAAAAAGATGAAGAAATTATTTGAGTTTGTATTTGGAGGCAGAACAGCCAGGTGTATCTAAGAAAGACATTTCACATGCCCCTGACCCGGAAAGCAGGCAGGTTCTAGTAGATGGAATCATCAGAAGTTTGAAGTGTGGCTCTTTCTACCAGATGCATGGAATATGGAAAAAGATAGCTGTTGACTACACTAACTGTATTTGAACTAATGATATAAAGGAGTAGCCCTTGGAACATTAATTTTAACAAATATTTACTGCCCTAGATAAATGCATTTTAAAATTATTTCCTGTATTGTAGTGACTGTAAATCCTCCACAATAATCCGTGAAAATGTCCACCTCCTACCTCCTTCCTGTACACCTAACACAAGATCTCACGAGGTCCGCAGGAGAGAATAAATCATACTTGGATGCCAAATTACCCGAGAACATTTTTATACACTAGGAATGCAGAAGCTCCTTGCAAAGTGCATAAGCAATTCGGGGACTAGGTTTTATTTAAGGATCGGTGATGGCTACTAGTCTTCACCAACGGTGAATCTGACAACTCTGCCTCCACAATGAAATCATCCCCTAGAGCTTCACAATAGACCAATTAACAGCTGCCTAAAGTGACAACAGAATGCAAAAGTGTCTCTCCAGATTTGGTTCCCACAGTGTCTGCATGCCTTTGTATTCTACCTACAAGAAAATCCTACTGCATTTCTCCCGACTTTAAATTGATGTGCAGCAGGACAAGTAGGAATTCCACTGCAGTGGGCAACTTTAAAAATAACATGAAAAACACCTGCCCCATAGAAACAAATAAGGGGGCTGAAAGCCATGCTGGTTATTCGAATGCCTCCTTCCTTTCTCACAGTGACTTACCTTAGAATTCATTTCCATGTGGTATTTGGCACAAGCTCGAAGCTGAGTCACCCAGAATTGTTTCTCTTTTGCATCAGCAGCTAAAATAGAGAAAACAGAGAAAGAAGTGATTGCAGAGGTTGTTCCAAAACACATCCAACTTATTTCTACACCCACCTAAGGGGGTGGGGAGCCTGGGGAGTGAGAGGTAGCGAGAAGGTGGGGAAGCGAGCACAGATCAAAGCGTTCTCAAGCGGCCTGCACTTACACCAAAACAGAGACTGCACTGACTCTCCACAGAACATCCTCTCTTGAGTCATATGAAAAATTGATTTTGAAATACCCATTATAAGAATAATTTTACCATTTTTTAACCTCCTCTGAAAAAAATCGTTTCTATAATACTTCTTTAAAAAGGCAGCAGGGAAGGAACCACATGCTTATTTTCAAATGCCTCTAACCTTGTGTAGCTAATGAGTATCAAACGGCATCTTTTTTTTTTTTTTTTTTTGGAGACGGAGTCTGACTCTGTCACCCAGGCTGGAGTACAGTGGTGCCATCTCCGCTCACTGCAAGCTCTGCCTCCCAGGTTCACACCATTCTCCCGCCTCAGCCTCCCGAGTAGCTGGGACTACAGGCGCCCACCACCACGCCCGGCTAATTTTTTTGTATTTTTTAGTAGAGACGGGGTTTCACTGTGTTAGCCAGGATGGTCTCGATCTCCTGACCTCGTGATCCACCCGCCTCGGCCTCCCAAAGTGCTGGGATTACAGGCGTGAGCCACTGAGCCTGGCCTCAAAGGGCACTTTTTCAGGGCCTTTTGCTGTCTACCAGGGCTGTATTGTGGTGTCACTAGCATGTACAAAATAAGCATTCAGTTGAATTACCATTTTAGTATGTTCTCAAAGATTCATACGATTGGAAAGAGCAAGATACCAAATGCTGTCTTAGAGAGCCTCAAACTTCCCCCAAAGAGATGTTAAAGTGCAAGCAGTCATGTTGTACAGTCATATCCTTCCGTCTATAACCTACCTCTCAAATAATATATATAAAGTTATTCTTAAATATCATGGGCACACAACAGGTTCTAATGAAATCTAAATCATCAATTTAACCACATAAATAACTGCATAAATATAACACTAGCTGCATACATGTTGACTATGGAAAAAAAAAAAATGATTCCCTGGAAATTATAACTGTTTACTAAACTGAGCCTAAGTGTCATTTGTCCATCAAACCTGACTTCGGCTTGAACTTTCAGGTGAAGAAATCTAGAGTTACTAAATGGGAAATTCTTTGGCTTAGTCCCATTTAAGGCATGAAGACGGCTCCCACAAATCCCAAATGATTTGTCTGTCAAGAGGCCTGTTGCACAAGTCTGATTTAGAGAGTGTGCCAGGTGAAATGAACTTCCAAAGATAAAGGACTTTGCAGAAATTAGGGCCTTTTTTAGTAAACTTGAAGAATTGCCAGTTTGGGGCAATACTATCCAAAGGCTTTGCATCAGAAATACTCCCAAAAGCTGTGCGTCTCGGGATATCATGATCCAACTCCTACTATGTGCAGGTAAGATGTGAAATGAGACACCAACAGCCAGTTCCTTGTGGGATGGGCTAAGAACAAGCCATAAACATGCAGAAATTTATCCTGACTTTTTTTACAGTTAAGCGTTAGCTAAATTTAGCCATTGCGATTATTCCATGCAGATCATAAAACCTCTACATTTGCTATTAAAATTGCCCTCTAAAAAAAACCTAGGGCTTCATAATCCAAAGGATATTAATGATTCAATGGCAAAACAAGATGGCTCAATTGCCAAATTAGTTGGATTTTTCTTTTGTATGGGTTTGTGTCATTTTATAAACCACAGGCAGGGTGGAAAGTGCCATTAGGTTTTTGGTCTGCTATTGTTTCTGCACTGACAATTTATTGAGCAATAAATGGCAAAGCAAAGCCAAGGGCCATATAAATCTAGCCAGCTGGAATGCACACGGCATGAATCTCAAGAGAACATGAATCTTATCACATTCCTGAAAAAATTGTATCAACTACAGACATTTTTACTTCCTAGGTTTTTGGATTGTTTTATAGATTCTGAAATATGAGTTGTATATAGATAATAAACATTAGCTTATTCCATCTCTTGGGTAGTAAAGCTTGGCAGAAGAATGGTGAAAATTGGGCTGAGAGGTGAGGAATGTAGACCCAAAGTCGGACTTTGCAGAGGCAACTCATCACGGTCACGAACAGAGAGCAAGCGGCCATTTCTTCATCCTCAGCTCTTACTTAGTCAACAGAAAATGTTGCATGAAAAAGGGAGAATTTTCAACCACCTCTCAATACTTAATACATACTACTTTTCCTCAGGCCTTGATAAATAATATAGACTCTGCGTGTCCGTGTGTGTGTGTGCGGGCACGCACATGTGGGCATTTGGATTTGTTGTTTCGTTTCATTATTTTATTAGAAGAAAAGTGGCAGAAGAATCACAGCAATGCAACCATAACAGATCCTGGCAGAATGATCTAGCAATCAAATTACACTGTAATTCTATTACAAGTCTGACATCTCTGTGCAATGGATGTGTCTTGAGGGTGAATGCTGGGCTCCCTGGAAAGTCATCCTCATCTCTGGGATGCTGGGCAGGTATCCATGTTATTTTTTCCTTTACTAAAGCAAAGATATCCATTTTCAAGAAGCAAAGAAAAGGGAAGAAAGCATACAAAGGGACATTAACTCCATTCTCACCAGGCTCTACAACAGTGGATTGAACAAAACTCAAAGGGGCACTTTAACAAGAAATGGTTCCAGAGAAACTTTGGGAGGAAGACACTCGCACCCTTAAAGGACTTATTTTGCCCTTATAGCACAGCCCTCACAGGGCACTTAGTGAAGATTCATACCATTAGGTCAAAGAAAATATACTGAGCTAACGCTTAAGATCTTCGAAGTCCTAAGGCGTGCTGCTTTGGCAATCACTCACCTTTCCTTTGTCCTTAATTCCTCAGTTAATTAGGACAAGTAATTCCTAACATCAGCTCCACCTCCCCACCCCAGGGATAAAAGGGGCAGTGTGTGTCACCACAGAGTCCTCCAAACACAGCAAACTGTCAAAGGCAATTTACAAAAACAAAAAATGAAAAAACAAGAGAGCCATCACCATGGCAACTATAAATGTAGCCCGCGAGGCCTGTCTGAAAAGTTACCAGGAGAAGAACGCACCTCTCAGTTTAAACATCTCTCCATTAGCAGAGTACACGACCAGCATGTGAGGCGCTTCATCGCTCAGGGACACTATGGCTCCAGACAAAGACAGGACTCCTCGAGGCTTCTGGTGTTTGCTTTGCTCATTCACAAAATACTGCAGGATGCCAGCCTCGAAATCCAGTACGAAGTACCTGCACAGAGAAACCACAGTACATCATTTTTCTCTCCTACCCTATTCTGCACAGCAAAGCAGAGAAAAGCAAAGTGATCCAGAAGTCAACATCAAGACTCCACATCCATGAAGCTGGAAAGCAAAAGTCCCTCCCAGATGCCCAAAGTTAGCCTGAGTAGGGAGAGAGCACTGAATTCTTAAATCACAGTGGAGTTCATAATGGGGCACTTACGGGCAAGGGCCAGGACCACTCAGGATTTGGTGCCATGCCCACACTTCACCCAGTATTCATGGATACATTAAACCTCAGAATGACAGAGACCGGCAGAAGCACTGCAACACAGCCTCTTGCAACATGCTCCATATAAATTCACAGGAACAGGTGAAATTCACAAGGCCTCCAGGAGAGGTAGTTTCACACCCAGATAGCAGCAGCAAGCTTGGTCTCCAACTTCCTGCCAGTGGCATGGGTACCATAAGGAGCCTGAGCACATGGCAGCATCCGTCATGGAACTGCAGGTGCTTCTGCAACCACCTGGACACGCTCCAGCAGGCCCATTCGCATGAAGGCAAGGATTGCCCCTGCTCTGAGATGTTGAAATGCCACTGAACTCTACATCCATGGTAAAAGAAGAAGAACTGCAATTTGCTTAAATCACACAATGAATCTTTGTAGCCAAACATCTGGCCTGTTAATTTTCTCAGGCTATTACCTGGGAAGTAGTCAAGCCAATTTCCCCTTCTCCACCAGGATGGAAATGTCTTCACCTGAGCCTCAGATTCTTACTGTGGCCTTGAGGCCCGCCCCTGCTGACTTTTCTACATTCTCACTTCATCTTCCACTGATACTAGTGTCTTTTCTCTCTTCCTTCATAGTCACCAAGTTGCTTCCTACCACAGGACCTTTGCACATGCTATTCCCACTGTCTGGTGCAGTTACTCAAAGTGTGGTCTGCAAATTCTAATGGTCTACAAACTGTTACCAGTCCACCACAGCCTTTTGAAACATTTCCTGCATTTGGCTCTGTTTCAATATCCAAATGCACAGATCAGTTGGACAAGTCTCAACAGTTCAGAAGCTGTCAAACACACATGGTCCACACAAGCTACATACTAGTCATGAATCAATAACAGTGCAACTGGCGGATGGGGGAAAGCAGGTCCTTCACCACAGACAGGTCGAAAAACACTTGCCCAGAATGCTACTCCCCCTGCCTGGAATATGGTTCCTACCCCTTCTCGCCATGTAAAGTTCTCCTAACCAGGTCAAATATTCTTTCCTGTAGCACTTTGAAATGCTCCCTCATGGCAAGGGCCCCATTTGAAGTCTACATTTGTGTGATTATCTGATTCAATGACTGGTTTCCCCACTAGACTACACTCTGAGGAGGTGGAAAGTGTATTCCTCTACACAGCACCCAGCAGTGTGCCTCACACTTCATTGCTACTCTGTTAACGCTTGTGAAAGGAATGAATAAAGAAAAAAACCAACTAAATCCCACGCTTCTCCATCCATGCATCAAAGCACCTGGGTCATACAGTGAACTGATACAGGCAATGCAATATATTTTACATTTTTGAGGGATACATGGCAAGAGTCAACATACCTACAGTCTGTACTACCAACTCAGGGACTTCCCACAGTTTTAATATTACACTGCACTACATTCCTTTCGATGCCATCATATTCTTGCAAAGAGTTTCAGCAGGTGCTGCAATTAAAAAAACATCAACGTAGAACAGGAAAAGAGAACAGCAATGTCCAGTATGATTCCAAGGTTTGAAAAGCTGTGCAGTACCCACAGGTACATACATCCCATTAATAAGTAACTGTGGTTATTTAAGAAACTCAAATATTTTTCTTTCAATTGATATTATTTTTTCAAACAGCTACTGAGTTGTTTAGACATAAATACGTATGAGGATGTTTGGAACTAACCACTTCAAAAATGAATCCGTTAGATACTTATTTTAACCTAGAAGCACCAACAACCAGGAAAGTTTACGAACTTCTAACGTAATTTATTCTCACAATAACCTAACAGAACAGATGTTATCCCCATGTTACAGGTATCCTGAGACTTGAAGAACTTTAAAATCCAACTTCGACTCTTCCGTGTCCAAAGTTCAGACGTGGGTCTACTCCAGCAAGCTCAAGCTGCTTGCTTCTCACTCAAGTCCTTCCGTGTAACTTTTCCATATCACTTCTCCAGGACCTAACCTGCATACTTTATTCTCCAAATCTCCCTGCTCCAACAGAGATAATGAAGCTGAAAGCTCCTTTGCCTGGCAGTAGAGGTCCCTACTTATGGCCCCTGCCAGGGAGCAAGGCGCAGCCATCTCATTAGCACATGACTGCCCAGGTGGCAGTCCTCCAAAGCTCCAAGTCCTCTAAGAAATCGTCCACTTTGAATTATTTTTAATATTTCAGATGGTCTGGCCAAGACTCGTATCTATTTTACTCTTCTTCCCTCTTATCTCTCAAGTCATTCTAACAAAGGTATTTCTGGTTCTCATGAACAGCGTGGATAAATGAAGACGCAAAAACGTCAGAACCAGGGCTATTCAAAGTGTGATCACCAAGCCGGCAGTAACAACGTTGCCTGGGGTCTTGTTAACAATGGAAAATCTTGAGCCCCACCCGAGCCCTGCTGAATCAGAAACTCCGGGTTTTAACAAGCTTCCAGGTTATCTGTTACAGGTGAAGTGTGAAAATCACTGACGTAAACTACCATCAACAAATCCCCTTCCTCCCCTTCCAGAGAAGTCACATCCAGAACATATTTCTCAGCTTTCCCTGCGCTTAGGGTGTGGCTGTTTGAGCTTCAGCCAATAGAATGTGAGCAGTAGTGTGCACACATGCGCACACACATGCACTGGAATGGAGACAACCTATAGCACAACTTGGGAGAACCTGGGTCCCTGAATCACCACCTGGAAGAGCACCACCTGCTGAGCAACACGCACAGCGGACCACTATATTAATAAGAAAGAAACTTTAATTAGGCCACGGGGATCAGTATCTGTTATAGCAGCTGCTAGCCTTACATTAACAAAGACACAAAAAAACCCTTTTTTATTTCTATTTTCACATCCTTCTACTTGAAATTTGCCCCTATTCCTTAATGTGGGGCAAAAGACAAACTCCCCCAATGAGAGAAGAACCAGGGTCACTTCTGAGCAGCCAATGCTCAACTTAAATTAAGTGCTGACTCTGCCTTCTCGAGGAGCGTCTTCCACTTGACCTGTATTTAATGTTACCGTGACTGCAGCTGTGCAGACAATGCTCGTGGCAAGTCAGAACGTGAGCAATCATCCTTTCAAGCTGAGGAAGGAGACTAGTTAGGCTCACACTGCAGCACGTTGTGCCATGTGTGCCCCCCTCCACACACCTGCAGACACAGAGCTTCAGCATCCCCTTCCACAAGCA